ACTATTTCTACTTCGTGGCAGAAGAGCTGCGGGAAATCATGGCTCAGACCGGATTCCGCACCGTCGCCGAGATGGTGGGCCGGGTGGACAAGCTCGAAACCCGGCAGGCAGTCGACCACTGGAAAGCTTCCGGCGTTGACCTGTCCCGGTTGCTGGTAATCCCGCCTCGCGCGGAACGCGTCCAGACCTTCTGCTGCGCCGTGCAAGACCACGGTCTGGAGCGGGCTCTGGATCACCAGATCATCGCGCAAGCCCAACCCGCCATCGACAACGGCACGCCGGTACGAATTGACATGCCGGTCAGCAACTCGAACCGTACCGTAGGCGCAATGCTTAGCGGTCGTGTGGCCCGCAAATACGGTGAGCAAGGTCTGCCTCCTGGAACTATCGACATCCACCTGGAAGGTTCAGGCGGGCAAAGTTTCGGCGCATTCCTGGCGCCCGGCGTGTCCATCAGCCTGGCGGGCGACACCAATGACTACATGGGCAAGGGCATCGGCGGTGGCCGCATCGTCATCGTGCCGCCCGCGGGTTCTGGGTTCGTGCCGGAGGATAACATCATCATCGGCAACGTGGCGCTGTACGGCGCCACCGGCGGCGACGTGTTTATTCGGGGTCGCGCCGGCGAACGTTTCGGCGTCCGCAACAGCGGCTCCATTGCGGTGGTGGAAGGCATCGGAGACCACGGTTGTGAATACATGACTGGTGGCGTCGTCGCCGTCATCGGCAGCACCGGTCGTAACTTTGGCGCTGGCATGAGCGGCGGCATCGCATTCGTTCATGATCCCGATGGGGATTTTCACATCCGGTTCAACGATGGCATGGCCGACCTGGAAAACCTGGTGGAACAAGAGGACATTGACCTGCTGCATGGCCTGTTGACCGAGCACTTGACCCGCACCGGTAGCGGCCCGGCGCAGCGCATCCTTGATGACTGGAGCGCCAGCATCGGTCAATTCCGAAAGGTGATGCCCCGCGATTATCGTCGCGTGCTGGAAGAGCGTAAGCAGCGCGCCGAAGCGGAACTGGCGGCGGTGCGGAATGGGTAAAGTCACCGGATTCATGGACTTTGGGCGCATTCCTCCGGAACGCCGACCGCCGGCCGAACGCGTCAATGACTATTCTGAATTCTACCAACGGTGGTCTGACACCCAAGCCGCCGAGCAGGGGGGACGCTGCATGGACTGCGCCGTGCCTTTCTGCCACATGGGATGCCCGCTAGGAAACGTCATCCCCGACTTCAACCATCAGGTTTATCTGGGCAACTGGGAACGCGCGCTGGATATCCTGCTAAGTACCAATAATTTTCCCGAATTCACGGGAAGGATTTGTCCGGCGCCGTGCGAGGCGTCCTGCGTATTGAGCATCAACGCTGACCCCGTCACCATAGAATACATCGAAAAAGAGATTAGCGACCGCGGGTTTGAGCAAGGCTGGATCAGGGCAACGCCACCCGACACCCGCACTGGCAAGAGAGTGGCGGTGGTTGGCAGCGGCCCGTCGGGTTTAGCCGCCGCACAACAGTTGAACCGGGCGGGACACCACGTTACGGTGCTGGAGCGAGCGGATTACATCGGCGGTTTGCTGATGTTGGGCATACCTGATTTCAAGTTGGAAAAAGAAGTTGTGCAGCGGCGGATCAAACTCATGGAAGCAGAGGGGTATTGAGTTCCGTACCGGCGTGAACGTTGGGATCAATTACCCCGCCCAACAACTCCAGGAAGAATACGACGCCGTATGTCTCACTGGAGGCTCCACCGAAGCACGAGACCTGAACGTGCCGGGGCGAGAGCTGGCCGGCGTGCATTTCGCCATGGAATATCTCCCCCAGCAAAACCGGAAGCTGGCCGGCGAGGATATCAGCGACCAAATTTCCGCCGAAGGCAAACGGGTAGTGATACTGGGCGGCGGGGACACCGGCGCCGACTGCCTGGGCACGGCTCATCGCCAGGGCGCCGAAGTCGTGCGCCAGTTTGAACTGCTGCCGGAACCGCCCGAGGAACGGGCGGATGATAATCCGTGGCCCCAGTGGCCGATGATACTGCGTACTTCAGCCGCCCACGAAGAAGGCGGAATCCGCGACTACAACATCCTCACCAAGTCGTTGAGCGGTAACGGCCAGCGCGTTGAGCAACTCCACGCCGTCCGCGTGGACTGGACCAAAGGTGAAGATGGACGCTTTCAGATGGCCGAAGTCCCGGGTAGCGAATTCATCGTGGAGGCCGACCTGGTGTTGCTAGCCATGGGTTTCCTGCACCCGGAGCATGACGGAATGCTCCAGCAACTGGGCGTTGAGCTGGATGGCCGCGGCAATGTGCAGGTTGACGATAACAAGATGACCTCGGTGCCCGGCATATTCGCCGGCGGAGACATGGTGCGCGGCCAGTCGTTGGTAGTGTGGGCCATCGCCGAAGGCCGAGACGTGGCGAGGGGCGTCGACCGATACCTGACCGGCGCCAGCCACCTGCCCCGTTCCTCCGCTACTACCTGATCACACTACCACGTTAGCGCGTCCGCATCGTCTCAGTACCCGGACGGCCGGCGAAGCAGAGCCTCCGCCGGCCTCCTAGGTTACCTGGCGTTCACGGTGCGGCGTGCGGCACCGCGTTGCGACCAATGTGGTCCAGATATTCGCGGATGTTCAACACCTGAATCGTGTTGGTAGTGCCGGTTACTCCGGTCATAAAGCCGTGCACCAGCGTAACGATGTCGCGTTCGGCCACTAAGCCGGTTGCAATCGCCTGATCCACCAGCATAGTTACCAGCTTGGCCACGTCGGGTTCGGGGGGGATGATGCCCTTGGGAGCCAGTCCCCAGGCCATGCACACCCGACGCTGTACCGCTTCATCGTGGGAGAACACCAGAATGTCGTTCTCGGGCCGGAACCGTGACATTTCGAAGGCGGCGCGGCCAGTGCTGGTGATGACGATTGGCTTGGCGTCCAGGGATTTGGTGAGTTGGGTTGCGCCCCACGTAACCGATTGTGTCTGATCGCGCTGAGGAAATTCGGTGTAGTACTGGTATATTTTTTCCGCTTGGACGATAGCAGCATCAGCGATACGCACCGCTTCCACCGGGTGGGCGCCAACAGCTATCTCATCGGAAAGCAGGATGGAATCGCAACCGTCGAGCACGGCGTTGGCGATGTCCGACACCTCGGCCCGTGTGGGCGTCGGCGAGTTTACCATCGACCGCAGCATTTGCGTGGCCACCGAAGAGATTTTCCCAACCTCATTGGCCCTGCGTACCATGTGTTTCTGGATAACAGGCACTTCTTCCATCGGCATTTCGACGCCCAGGTCGCCGCGCGCCACCATGATTCCGTCCACCTCGGCCAGAATCTCGTCCAGATTATCAATGCACTCCCGACGTTCCAGCTTGGCCATCACCGGGGCCCGACTGTCCAGTTGGTTCAGATACGCGCGAGCATAGCGAACATCCTCACCAGTGCGCACGAACGACAACGCAACCCAGTCCACTTCCTGCTCGACACCAAACTGCAAGGCAATCTTGTCGCTCTCGGTAATCACCGGCATGTCCATAGGCACGTCGGGAAGGTTAACGCCCTTGTAGGAAGACAGGTTGCCACCGTTGCGAACGCGCGTCTTGACCTCCAGGTCATTCGTAACGTCCAAAACCTCGAGGCAGACCGTGCCATCCGAGATGTAGACCAGGTTGCCCGGCCGCAGGTTCCCCAATATGGCCGGCTCTGGAAAGGGCAACCGGTCAGGCGAATCTGCCCTCGGTTCGTTGACAATGGAAATCAAATCGCCAAAATTGAGCTGAACGGCCTCAGCCATAGTGCCCAACCGAAATTTGTTGCCGCCCAAGTCCTGCAACACCGCAATTGGACGGCCTTGCCGTTTGGAGGCGGCTCGGACGCTGGCGATAACTTCGGCGTGTTCTTCCAGCGTGCCGTGTGAGAAATTCAGCCTGGCAACATCCATTCCGGCGGCTACCAGTCGGTCCAGGGTTTCCGGTGAACGGGAGGCCGGGCCGATGGTGGCGATGATCTTGGTTTTCCGCATTTCCAGTTCCTTTACATTGCCACCGGTCGCCGGGCGGCCGCTGTTGGCTTGAGAACGATTACTGATGCTATTGAATGGCTGTCTGCATTATACTCACATCGCCCGCAGACGGCGCAATTGCAACATCCGCAAGATGCAAAAACAAACGGGCGTCAGCTGGTTTTCATCTCGCTGACGCCCGTGATTGGGTCGAGTGTCGATTAGCTTTGTTGGCGGTTTTGCTCGTACACCTCGGCGGCGCGTTCGAGGCCGGCGCGGCGGTTCACCTGGAGCGTGTCGCGCAAGCCGGACGCCCACTGCTGTGACTGCTGGATACCGGCCAGCGACCCCTGGAACTGCGGCATCACGTAGCGCGCCATCAGTTCGTAGGAACGGTGCAACTTGTCGCGAGGAGCCCAGTCCTCGGCACGTACCAGCATGCCGCCGAATCCACCCGACATTTCCTGCAACTCGTTGATGCGCTGTATGCAATCGTCGGGAGTACCCACGATCCATTGCTTGTTGTCGGTCATGAAATCGACAATCTGATCACGCGGAACGTCGGGAACCTCATGGCCCAGGGTGTTGCCGAAATACTCGGTAACCACGCGCGCCGACCCTTCGCGTATGTCCTCCTGCGCCTCTTTCTTGCTCTCAGCCAGGTGCACGCCCACCGAGAGACGCCATTCTTCGCGCTTGACGGTTTGGCCGTGCTCGGCGGCGGACTCTTCGGCGATTGCCCACTGCGATTGCAATGACGTTGACCGCACCATGTCGCGTGGCACACTTAACGAAATGACGCCAGCGCCGTATTTGCCAGCCGTCATCACGCCGGCGGGAGACTGCACGGACGCAACCACCAGCGGGAAGGGCTGCTGAAACGGCCGCAACTGGAGGTGAGCGTCGTGCAACTCGAACCAATCGCTGGTATAGGTATAAGGCTCTGGGCTATCCATCAATCGCTTGATGGCTCCCAGTGATTCGTCCATCATTTCGCGCTGGCGAGCCGGGTCTATGCCGAACATATAGGCATCTGATGCCAGCGCTCCGGGTCCGACGCCCAGCATCACGCGCCCATGCGTGAGGTGATCCAGCAGCACCATCCGGTTGGCCACCATATACGGGTGATGATAGGGCAGGCTAACGACGCCGGTGCCCAGCCGCAAGTTGTGAGTGCGTTCGGCTGCCGTAGCCATGAAAACCTCGGGGGAGGCGATGGTTTCCCAGCCCGCACTGTGATGCTCACCGATCCAGGCTTCGTCAAAACCCAGCCGGTCTAACCATTGCAGGAGTTCCAGATCGCGCTGCAAAGCAAGGGTTGGGTTCTCTCCCACCCGGTGGAACGGAGCCATAAAAATGCCAAAATTCATACGCGCAGGGGCGGTCATCGAGTGCCTCCTCGTGGTTCGCTAATTGTAAAAAAACAGATTGATTTCGGCCATTCTAACACGGCGGCCGGTCGGCGCAACCGAAGGGCACGGGCCGGCCGGCTCAGGTGTCCACGACTGCACTGCGTCGCTCTACAACGACCGTGTCGCGCCACAACCCATGCAAAACAGCCACCCATTTGCGACGCCCCATGACGCGAAACCCACACGCCAGGTGGATTGCGATGCTGGCCTGGTTCTCCGGAAAAATGCTGCTTTGAAGCATCCAGAACCCGTGCGCCTCCGAATCGGCGACCAGCGCCGTCAGCAATTGTCTGCCGATTCCCCGACCTCGCACCGCCTCGGCCACGTACACGCTGTGCTCGGCGACGCCGGCGTAGCAATCGCGCGCCGAAACCGGCGACAACGCCGCCCAAGCCACGATGACATCCCCCACCCGCGCAACCACACGGCAATGGGTGAGATGGTTGCGGTTCCAGGTTTCCCAGTCGGGCGCGTCGATCTCGAACGTAGCATTGCCGGTGGCGATACCCTCGGCGTAAATGCGACGCACGGTTGGCCAGTCCCCAGGCGCCATGGGGGTGATAGTGAGATCAGCGCAGGCAGCCATGCCAATCAGAATACTACAACAACATCTGGAAGCTTGACCGACGTGCCGATGGCTCGCACGCCCGAGCCATCAAGACCGGCGGGAGTCCCCGACGATTAGTATCGAGACCACAATCGACTCAGCCCCTAGCCTGCCGGTACAAAAAATGGTATGGTTTCGCCATCAGATACTGAACGAGGCGCATCGCAATTTGCGTCTTACCCCAGATGCGAGGAGGACAAAATGCCCCAGATTAAGCACATCGCCATCGCCACCAATGACGCTGAAAAAACCGCCAAGTTTTACGCCGAAGTATTTGGACTGCGCCAGGTAGCCCAGCTTGACGGTGAAAACGCCAAGGGCTTTATGCTCAGCGACGGTAACGTCAACATGGCCATCCTGGACTTCCAGAATGACGCCGTGGCCGGTGAGCGTGGCAAGGATTGGGAAGGTATCCACCACATCGGGTTCGAGGTGGAAAGCCTGGAAGAGATTGAGCAACGGCTGGCCGACAACAACGCCAAGCCCATGGACTCGGTCAACAACGCCCTGCACGCCGGTATGGGCGGCCCCCGCACTGAGAACGTCGAGACGAAGTACGAAGGCCCCAACGGGGAGATGATTGACGTTTCCGGTACCGGCTGGATTGGCACCCGCGGCTTCGACTAGGCCACCAGCGACGGCCATCCCCGAACGGATTCGGCCGACGCAAATGATTCAGGGGCGACGCGTTGCGCGTCGCCCCTTTCTTGTTTTCTCCGATTCTGCCCGGCGAAATGCTTCACGCCGGCCGGAACACCAGCCCGGGGTCGTTGGCGTCGATCTCATCCAACGCCAGCACCACGGGCAGATCGGACGGGATATTCTGCGGGTTGGCTGCATCTACACCGGAGATTCGCGCGCTGATTCGTGACCTTCTTCCAGCGTCACTATCCCGGTGCAATACGGATTGTTGCGTCCGTAGCCCTTCGCCTCCAGCGACGCCGGCGCTACCGAAATGCACGTGAAGGTGGTCAGTGTGGCGCGCCCACTCAGCTCGTGCCATTCCATGTCCCGGCTGTGGCTCACCGGGTCAATGGGCCGGGCTTCCGCGTAGATGTTGCCATTCTCCCGGCACCGCACCCCCATGAACCGCCCCTCTTTCAGGAACGCGTAGAACGATGCGGCGTTGAAGGGCCTGGACTCGGCTTCGGTGGTCATCGGACGCTCCCTAGCCGCGCTGCAGGACGTTGACGACACAGGTGCCGCCGGTGCCGCCCACGTTATGGGTCAAACCAAATTCCAGGTTCGGGTTGGTCAGCTGGCGCTCACCAGCCTCCCCACGCAACTGCTTGTAGACTTCGATGACCTGAGCAACACCACTGGCCCCCACCGGGTGTCCCTTGGCTTTCAGGCCGCCGCTGGTGTTGATGGGTCGGTCGCCGGTGCGCGCGGTGCGGCCTTCGTCAACGGCGTGAGGGCCCTCACCCGGCGCAAAGAAGCCCAGGTCCTCGCTGGCTACAATTTCAGCGATGGTAAAGCAGTCGTGCACTTCGGCTACGCCGACGTCGGCCGGGCCGATGCCGGCCATCTGGTAAGCTTCCGCCGACGCGACTTTCGCTGCCGACAGGGAGGTAAGCTCATCAGCATCGTGCAGCGGTCGCCCGGTCGCCTGACCGATACCCGCCATGTGCACCGGCTTGTCGGTGAACTGGTTGGCAATTTCGCTGGCGACCAGAAGCACGCAAGACGCTCCGTCGGTAATCGGCGCGCAGTCGTATAGACGCAGCGGCCAGGCGATCCACGGGTTGGCCCGGACATCGTTGAGGAAGTCCAGCTCGTCGGCCCATTCGGGTACGGGCTCGCCGCGTTGTTCGGCACGGGCTTTGCGACGGTCCATCATGTCCCGCACCGTCTGCTGGAACTGGGCTTTGGGGTTCAGCTTGCCGTTTTCATGGTTCTTGATGCCAACCTTGAGCAGGTGGTTGAGGTTGGTTTCATAGCGATCCATATGCGCTTTGGCGATGGCTCCAAAGATACCGGGGAAGGTCAATCCGGCCGGCACCTCGTAAAGACCATCGGCGGCAGAGGCCAGCACATCGGTAACGCCCTCGGTGGGCAACGACGTCATCTTTTCAACGCCACCGACCATCACCACATCGTACATTCCGCTGGCAATGGCCATGACACCCTCGCGCAGTGCGCTGCCGCTACTGGCGCAGGCGTTCTCAATTCGCGTAATGGGCGTGGGAGTCATTCCCAGCCAGTCGGCTATAATCGGCGCCGTGTGGCCCTGATGCTCGAAGAGGTCAGCCGAATAGTTGCCGATGTAGCCGGCCTCGATGTCCTGGGCCGAAATGCCCTGGTCCATGTTGTCCTGCATATCGTGAAACGCTTCTACGAACAGGTCGCGGCTGGACTTGTCGGGATAGGCTCCGAATTGGGACAAGCCGGCGCCGACGATGGACACCTGGCGCGCCAAACGACGCGGACGGGTAGTAGCCATTGGTTGTATCTCCTCGGTTCTGGTTGGTGCTGACTATTATAGCGGCGGGCTGAGTTGCATGTTTAACACCGATTCACACCACGCCGCCGCTCCCAGCAATCGGGCCTCCGCGAACGGTGATGCCACCAGTTGTATTGCCAGCGGCAAACCGGATTCAGCGATGCCTGACGGCAGAGCAATGGCGGGCAAACCGCAGGATGTCCACGGGCCCTGGAAAGCCGGATCGCCGGTGTTGGTAACGTCGGCCTGGGGCGGAGATGGAGTGGCAGGAGTCAACAGGACATCGCATTGCTGGGCGAGCTGTTCCATGTCCACGGTGAACTGGCGACGGTTTTCCAACGCCCGCGAGTACATGACGCCGTCAACTTCCAGACCCTGCGCCAGCATGGCGCGCAACTTGGGTTGATAATCCTCAGCCTGCACCCGATACATTGGTTCATGGAACGCCGCCGCTTCCACCGACATTATCAGGCGCTGGTCGTCGAACGCCGTGTCGATACTCGGCGGCATGGGCAGTTCCTCAATCTCGGCGCCGGCCTGCGACAACTGCTCGGCTACTGCATCCAAATGACGGCGGGTTTCTGCATCGGCTCCCTCGTAAAAGTACCGGCGCAGCATACCAACGCGCGGCGCCGGCGGATTCACAATTGCAGACAGATAATCACCAATGGGTTCGTGGGATGAAACCGGGTCATTGAGGTCGGGGCCGGCCATTACCTGCAACAAAAGCGCCGCATCTTCGACGGTGCGCACCAACCAGCCAACGGTGTCCAGATTCCAGCTCACGGGAACAACGCCATATCTGCTGACGCGTCCGAAGGTCGGCTTGAAGCCCACCACCCCATTGTAGGCCGCCGGCCGCAGCACCGAGCCAACCGTCTGCGAACCCAGCGCCGCCGGACACATCCGGGAAGCCACCGCCACCGCCGACCCGCTGCTGCTGCCGCCCGGCGTGTGTGCCGCGTTCCACGGATTCACCGTCGGCGATGGATCCAGACAGGCAAATTCGGTCGTAACTGCCTTCCCCAGCATCACCGCGCCGGCGTGTCTCAACAGCGTCAGCGATGTGGCATCGAAGTCGGGCACGAAGTCTTTGTACACTTCGCTGCCCGCCCGGGTCGGAATGTTGGCCGTATAGTAGATATCCTTGAGGCCGACCGGCACACCGTGCAGCGGTCCCAGGGGATTGCCATCCGACACCGCCTGGTCGGCGGCGCGAGCGTCGGCTAACACCGCGTCGCGGTCAACATACACCCATGCTTTGAGCCTGGCATTCAGCGTCTCGATACGATTCAGACAGGTTTCAGCCAATGCGGTAGCGGTCAGTTGGCCACCGGCGATGGCGGCGGCGGCCTGCGCTGCAGAGAGTTCATTTGGGTTCGGCATAGTGGTTAAACCTTGGGTTGACCAGGAGGTTGGGCCGGGTTTGGGCGATGCTGGCAACCCCATCAGGTACCGGGCGGGCGCTTCTCACCCCAGTCGGTGGCTTGTTCGAAGGCGTAGGCGGCTCGGAAAATGGTTGATTCGTCGAAGGCTTTGCCGGCGATTTGCAGACCGATTGGTAAGCCATCAGTGGTAAAACCGCAGTTGATCGACAGCGCGGGGAGATTGGCCAGGTTGAATGGCGCGGTGAACCCACGCCGACCTTTGAACCCGGCGATGACATCCTCTTTCGTACCCAGGCCGGCCGCTTCGGGAATGGGTGTGGCCGGCACCGACGACGCGGGCATCACCAACACGTCAACCTGTTCCAGCTCAGCCAGTATTTGTCGCCGCAAGATTTCCCGCAATCGCATCGACTTCTGGTAAACCTTGGCCGGCAAAATGCTGCCCATCAGCAGGCGCACCTGATTGTTGTGGTCAAGTTCGCGCAACCGCTCGGTGGATATGATGTCCCAGTTAAGCATTGCCGCATCGCTGCTGATGATTCCGTAAGAGATTTCCGACGAGTTGACGATCAGCGGCAACGACACTTCACGAACCTCGGCGCCGAGTCCGGCCAGCACCGCAGCCGCGGCGATAACGGCATCCCGAACCTCCGGGTCGTTGGCCTCAGTGTGCACGCGTTCCGTAATCAGCCCAACTTTCAAGCCATTTATGCCACCACCGAGTTCGGCGGCGTAATCTGGCACCGGCACGTCCCAGGTTTGCGGGTCTTTGGGATCATGGCCCGCGATGGCGGCCAGCGTGTGTGCACAATCCGTAACCGTGCGGGAGATCGGCCCTACGGTGTCCATGGACCAGCTGGCGCCAAAGACACCGTGGCGGCTGACCCGGCCGAAGGTTGGCCGGATGCCCACCAGTCCGCAGAACGCCGCCGGCCCCCGAATGCTGCCACCCGTATCTTCTCCCAGCGATGTGGCGCACAGGAACGCTGCTGTGGCTGCGCCCGACCCGCTGCTACTGGTACCAGGGTTCCGGCCGGTGTTCCAGGGATTACGCGGGCGACCGTAAGGGTGGCGAAAAGCGTCTCCGCTGGCGTATTCGCTCATGTTCAGTTTGCCCAGCAACACCGTGCCGGCTTCGCGCAGCCGCGCCATCACGGTGGAGTCCTCGTCGGGAACGTTTTCAGCCATGATGGTCGAACCATTGGTAGTAACTATCCCAGCCGAGTTGAATTGGTCTTTTACCGCCACCGGGACGCCGTGCAGCGGCCCCCGACTTTGGCCGGCGGCGATTTCAGCGTCGGCGCGACGGGCATCTTCGCGGGCCCGGACAGCGGTTACCGTGATGTACGAGGCGTAATTTCCGTCCAGTTGCGCGATACGATCCAGGTAGGCATCGGTGGCGTCTGCCGACGAGATTTCGCCGGCCGCGATTCGCTGCCCCAACTCGGTCGCCGACAGATAACAAAGATCCGGATTCGCCATTACGAGGCCTCCTGCTTACGCGCCGTCGCTGAAACGATGATTGGCAGCGGTTCGACGTTGGCGACGTCGGGCTCGTCAACTGCAGCCAGCGCCGCCATTAATCCGTTGAGAGACTCCCGCACTTCGCCGACCAAATCATCGGGGGATAGCAATGCCGGCGGCCTTGGCCAATGCCAGTACCTCGGCGTCATTCAAGTCTGGCAAAATCCAACCTCCCGAGGCGTATGTTTGCCCTATCAAAGCATGGGTTCACGGCCACAACCGTGCTGCGAATTGGCGCAATTGTGGCCGGGGCTGCCGGCATTGTCAACCCGAAGCCCCTGCTATAATCCCACCAGGACCAGAGCCAGAATCTCAATCCGAGACCGGGAGCGACGCAATGGCCGTAAACACCCAACCGATACACAATGCCGTTGGAATAGTACTGACCGCCGGCCACGGTAGCCGGATGCGTTCGCGGACGCCCAAGCCACTACATCGCGTCGCCGGCAAGGAGCTAATCAGGTTCCCGGTGGAGTTGCTGGCCGGATGCGGCGTCCAACAAATAATGGTGGTCGCCAGCCCCGATAATTTCGACGCCATTTATTCGGTGTTGGGGGACGGTGTTACCTACGCGGTGCAGCCTAATCCCGACGGCACCGCGGACGCCCTGGCCTGCGCGTTGGCACAACTGCCAACCGTGCCGCCGCTGGTGCTGGTAATGGCCGGCGACACTCCCCTGGTCCGGCTGGAATCGGTACAGAAACTGGCCGCAGAACACGCCTCGGTTCCTGACCGGCGGATGACCATACTGTCGGCGGCCGACGCATTTTCGGAAGACCTGGGACGTATCGAACGGGCCAGCGTTACCAGCGATGGCCGGGTGGGTTCGGTAAGCGCCATCGTCGAAGCCGCCGACCGCGTGCGGCAAACCTACGGGCCGGCAGAGGTCAACACTGGCGTTTACTGCTTCAGCGGGGATTGGGTCGCAGAACACATCGGCAACGTTGCACCGGCTCCGTCGGGAGAACGATACCTCACGGCTCTGGTAGCGACCGGAGCTGACCGGGGTGAAGATATAGCCGCCATGCCAATCGCCCTGGCGGACGAGTCGATGGGCGTTAACACTCGCGAACAACTGGCCGGTGTGGAAGCCGCGCTCCGCGACCGCATCAACTGCCACTGGATGGCCAACGGCGTTACCATCGTTGACCTGGCAACTACGTACATTGACGCTGGCGTTGCCATTGGTATGGATACCGTGGTATTGCCGAACACCATGCTGTCCGGCAACACCAACATCGGCGAGGAGTGCCAGATCGGTCCCAACTCGGTCATTCAGGACACGCATATCGGAGACCGCTGCCGGGTGCTGGCATCTTTCCTCGAAGGTGCGCACGTCGCTTCGGATGTCTCCATCGGTCCCTACTGCCATCTTCGGCCCGACACCTCAATTGCAAACGGTGTGCATCTGGGGAACTTTGTGGAAGTGAAGAATTCTCACGTCGGGGCGAACACGGCGGCCGGCCACTTTTGCTATTTGGGAGACGCCGACATCGGGGCGGGGGCCAACATCGGCGCCGGTACGGTTACGTGCAACTTCGACGGCGTGGAGAAGCATCGCACCGCTGTCGGCGATGGTGCTTTCATCGGCAGCGATACCATGCTGGTGGCGCCGGTCAGCGTGGGCCGGGGAGCAGCCACTGGCGCCGGCTCAGTCGTAACGAAAGACGTACCCGCGGGTAGACGTGCGGTCGGCGTTCCTGCTAGACTGATACCAAACGTAGAATAAGGGGAGCAGCTGGCCCGCCGCCGCGCGAGTGTGCGCAGGCAATGGGCCGATAGTTTGGATACAGACAGTAGCTTACCACCGTTATTATTTCTGGCCGTTTCCCTACTGCTGTTCGGCTGGACCAGCGTAGTCGTTGCGGCCCGAAGCACGCCGCCGTCATTGGTAGATATGATGGCCGGCGAAACAGCCAATCAGCACAGAACGGTGCGGTTGCTAAGGGTTGCGGCTGCAACGCTTGCTGGGATCTCTGCCGCAGTGTTAGGCATATCGCTGGCCGCCGATTGGCCACCGACAGGCTCTGGCTCCGTCTGGCTGGTGGCCGGATTAATTGCGGTTAGCACCATCACCACCACCGTCGCCCTCATCGCTCTGGACTTCGGGATCCGAGCGATGGTCAGGTTGGTGCCCGATTTGGCGGTGCGACTTGCTCGCCCAAAACACTGGTTGTCTGACGGTGGACCAGCAAACTACTCCAATGGGTACGCGTCCGGCACGAACGGAAACGGTGAAGACTGGGCTGAAACAGACACCGAAGGAAATCTGCTGTCTGCAACTCCGCTCACTCCGGCCGATTTGCTGGGCCTGGACCAATACGATATCGACATGGTGCGGTCGATCAGCCGGATGGACGACCGCGACGCCTTGCACATCATGGTGCCACGTCTCGATGTCGATGCTGTAGAGGTGTCGTCCTCGCTCGCCGCGGTGGTGGATACCCTGTCGGCCAGCAAGCACACCCGGCTGCCGGTGTATCGGCATACTATGGATGATGTGGTGGGAATAGTCCATATCAGCGATGTGTTGCTGGCGCTGGCTCACGGCGCATACAGCACATCTCTTGAAAGCATCATGCGCGAACCGGAATTCATTGCCGAAAACATGGCCGTAGACGACCTGCTAGTCTGGATGCGCAGTAAATCCCTGCAAATGGGCATCGTGGTGGACGAGTACGGCGGCGTGGAGGGGATAGTAACGCTGGAAGACGTGCTGGAAGAAATTGTCGGTGAAATCGAGGATGAGTTCACCATCACCAGCGCCGCGGACCTTGCTGCTGCCCCAGACGGTTCCTGGACACTGAATGCCGCACTGCCCATCGAAGACGTTGAAAGAGCGGTCGGCGTGGCACTCGACTACGGGGACGTCAATACCATCGGCGGGCACGTATATTCTGAACTGGGCAGGATGCCAACGGTGGGAGACGTAGTACGCACGGGTGATGTATCCATTGAGGTTACTCAGGTACGGGGACGGCGCATCCATCAAGTACGGTTAAGGCCGGCCAACCACGAAACCATCGCCGCCCAGCAAACCGGCCCACCCGGGAGTTAGCGCGTCGCCAAGGTGTTGCCCCACTACCTCAGCGAACGGCCCCGGATGGTTCGTCCGGGGCCATTTCATTGCCACCTGGATTGCCGCCGCCCGGTTGAGGATTATCGCATCCCCACCAGTTCCCCGCTTAGCACCAGGAAGTGGTCGTACAACCCGGTCGGTACCGGCACGACCAGATGCACGGTGGCTCGGTCGGTGCTGGACAGCCGGAGGGCGGCCGAATGGATTACGTCAGTGTGGGTGCCCAGATAAAGGTATTCCTGCGATCCGTTGCCGACGACTAGCAGCACCTCCTCGCCGTCGACCAACAACTCCGGCGCCTTGGTCAAACCGCCGAAACTGTTGGCTCCTTTCCCGGCGGGACCGAAGAACCACATGGCGCCCCGTTCGCCAGGATTGGCGGAGGTTGCCAGTTGGCCGGTGGGGTTGATGCCCGATGCGTAGTTGACGATGGATTCGCCGGTAACGCTGAGCGCGTCCGGCCTGGCGTCGATCCCCAGCGACGGTATGGACAGCCTGGTTGCTGGCGGCTGCGTTCCCAGCGCTGCAGCCGCATCACTCGGCATTGGGATAAACCCCAGCTGTTCGATTTGCTCTGGATAAGTGCCGGCGGGTAAGGTCAACGCAGAAACCGTAACACCTTCGGCGGCATCCGACTGTGCTCCAACATTCTCAATTACCGCCACATCCTGGCGTTGGGCGGCGTAGTCGCCCAGCTCGGCTCTTAACCAAAAGATGTAACCGTAGTAGATGCCACCGGCCAGCACCAGGGCCATGCCGACTAACAATATGGCAATGCCAGCCCATCGCAACCCATAGTGTTGGGCGCGGCTGCGCATGTGCATGTAATCAAGCCCTATCTCCATATCCGCATCCTAATCAATCTCGCCAACCGATTTCAGTCCCGCGAAAAGTGCCGGATTCATACAACCCGGCCACCTGTATCAGACACCGCCAGTTTGCTGAGAACCGGTACCCTGTTAATGGCGGCCGCTTCGGATTGGTTCGTTCATAAAGATGTCCCCGTTGCGGATTTTTATGTTGTATCCGCAAGGTGGGTTGGTGCAGGTCCAGGCTTTATAGTGCACAGCAGCGCCCTGAGCTCCGTAATCTGACAAAGGCACCAACGTACCGATGTTGCACTGCTGACATATGGGCATTTCCATGGCTTCCACTTTTATCACCTCACTGTACCCAGGGTGCTCCAAGTATTCCGATAAGAGTATAGCGAGCGGGCGCCTGTTATCGCCCGCATATTCACAAGCAAGGTTTGGGGTTTTTACGGCTCCGGTGAACGCGATTCACTACCGCAAAAAAAACGGGGCAACCAATGCGGTCGCCCCGTGGTGCCTGGTGCCAGCGCAGGTTATTCCAGGTAGTCGCGCAATTTCTTGGAGCGCGAGGGATGCCGCAGCTTGCGAATGGCCTTCGCCTCGATTTGGCGGATACGTTCCCGTGTTACGCCAAACTCCCGACCCACTTCTTCCAACGTGCGGGTGCGACCGTCTTCCAGCCCAAACCGCAGCTTGAGTACGCGGCTCTCCCGGTCGGTCAGCGAGCTCAACACTTCCTGAACCTGCTCCCGCAGCAGTTGGGCTGATGCGGCATCGGCGGGGGCCAGCGTAGTGCGGTCTTCGATGAAGTCACCCAGGAAGGAGTCTTCTTCTTCGCCAATGGGTGTTTCCAGCGACACCGGCTCCTGGGAGATTTTTTGGATCTCCTCAACCTTTTCGGAGGTCATTTCCATCGCTTCGGCCAGCTCTTCCGTGGTGGGTTCGCGACCCTTTTCCTGTAACAGTCGGCGATGATGACGCATCAGTTTGTTGATGGTTTCCACCATGTGCACCGGAATGCGAATCGTGCGGGCCTGGTCTGCGATGGCGCGGGTAATGGCCTGCCTGATCCACCAGGTGGCATAGGTGCTGAACTTGTACCCCTTCCGGTAGTCAAATTTTTCGACCGCCCGAATCAGGCCGATGTTGCCCTCCTGAATCATGTCCAGCAAGGCCATGCCGCGACCGATGTACTTCTTGGCCACGCTCACCACGAGCCGCAGATTGGCTTCGGTGAGGTGCGTCTTGTGGGCACGTTCGCCGTTCTTCTTGATGCGGTCAAAGTGCATGGCAGCGTCAAAGTTTTCCAGTTCCACCCGATCACTCAACCCGGGGTCTTTCAACAACTGTGCCACCAACAGCAGCGAACAGTGGTCATCCTCCGCATACAAGGGCGGTACATCCAGCCCCTGTTCCGGCGCAAAGCTGCCCTCCACACCGTCCGGATGCAATTCGGCCCAAACCGGAACGTATGACGTAATCACATCGACCATCTTGGGCGGAAGCACCCAAGTGTCGAGGGAAAGTTGGACGATTTTCTGGTATGCGACTTCCACGGTGATGTCAAGGTCGATGGCGACCTGTTCAATCATAGCAGTGGAAACTTCAGCGTCGATGGCTTTCCGCAGCGGCGGCGATTCCTTGACTTCACCCATGGGCATACTCTGGTCGAGTTGCAGATACCGAGCCAGCGACCGGACCAGTGGAGCCGCGTTGGCAATCCGGATCAGCAGCAACATCGCGGCTTCCCAGGCCATGCTCTCGGTGGGCAACGCTTCCTCGGCGGGCAAGAAACTGACCGTCTCATCGCCAGATAGCCGCTCGGCCAACTCCTTTTCCAGCTTGTTCAGGTGGTTCAGGCCTTCCAGTTCCCGCGCCAGGCGCCGTTCGTCAGCGGAGGTTAGCAGGTCAACGCGGCCAATCTCCCGGAGGTACATGCGCACCGGGTCATCCAGCGCGTCAGTGCCTTCGTTGGTGTCCACGTTGGCCCAGTCGCGTTCCTCGCGCTCGATGTCCCGCGGCGAGGGGCCGTCCAGTTCCGGCAACACGGTGCGCGCCGCGGCGACACGCCGAATCTGCCATTCATCGTCGGTCGAATCCGGGTCTTCCGCGGTTACAACTGCGACGCCGATGTCATCTACTTCAGGTTCTTCATCATCGGGCTGTTCATCTTCGTCTTCATCTTCTGCTACAGCGACGGCAGAACGTACCCGAACGTAACCTTCGTCTTCGTCATCAGCGATGACCACTGTGTCATTGGATTCGTACCTTGAATCCTCGTCGTCAACGATTATGTTGCGGCGGTTATTGCGATTATTGATGATGGTCATATTCCCTCCGTTATTGTTGGTGTCGTGGTGTTGCGCAGGAACGGCCGACTATATGGGCCGGTCAACTCCAGGTTTATTTCGCGCACGCGTTCCTTGCCGGCTTGCACCTGAACTGCCTCCCGGGATTCCCAATCGGCATTGTCCTGTAGGACGGTAAGCAACTGCGAGATTTCGTTATTCAGATATTCCTTTTCGATTCCTAATCGGATTTGCCTCCAGGCTCGCTGCAATTCGGCTTCCCTGAAAAGAGCCAGGTTTCGACTGCGCAGCAGGTCAAGATGTCCCTGTAATTCAGGCGCGATTGGCATATCCGGAGGCTGCCCAGCGTCCTGGCCTGACTCATCGACGGCCCGCCTGCCGATGATACTGCGGTGAATCTCGCGGTTTTCAGCGCGAGTGAACCAATCCGGCGACACCGTGGCTGCGGCATCCGGGCCCAATTCGTCCCCGTGCTGCAAAAGCAGGGCCAGGCAATACTCCTCAATTGTCCTTTCGTCCCGCGCTGGCGGCGGTGTGCCATCGTCGGCGTAAGACGGCGCCGGCCGGCGCTGACGAGATTCTGCGGACTGCCTGGCTACAGCAGGCATCGCTGCATACAGCGTTTCGATGCCCACCCCAAGTCGTCCGGAAAGGTCATCCAGGTGGATGTCACGTCGTATCGGATCGGGGACCTGCGCCACAAATCGCAGCATCGCCCCGACCACCCAGGCTCGACCGTCGGCGGTCGTCATATCGGCGCGGGAAGTGAGCGACGCCAGCAGGTAGTCAAACAACGGAGCCGCGCCAGCGAGAAACTCCGGCCAGGCGTCGGGTGACTTTCGGATCAGGTCGTCCGGGTCCTGGCCCTCGGGCAACTCCGCCACCAGCAATTCCAAGTGTTGCGGCGGCTGCAGCACCGACGCGTCGGGACGCTGTGCGTTGCGGACGTTGCGTTGCTGGAACACACCCCAGGACGATTCCAGGCTGCGCAGCGTCGCATTTTGTCCCGCTGCATCGCCGTCCAGCGCCATGGTCACCTGGCTGGTGAGGCGGCGCACCTGAGCAACCTGTTGTTCAGTTACCGCTGTGCCCATCGACGCCACCACGTTGTCGAATCCATGCTGGTGCGCCATGATGGCGTCCATGTAGCCTTCAACTACCACCACGCCCCGCTGCCGTACCGGTTCTTTGGCCAGGTACATGGCATACAGGATTCTGGATTTGTCGAACACCGGCGTGCGCGGCGTATTGACGTACTTGGCGGCGATTGAGTCGTCCAGGGCGCGGCTGCCAAAACCGGCCACACGCCCCGACCATTCCCGTATGGGGATAATCAACCGGCCTCGGAACAAGTCGTAATAACGGGCATCATCTGATTGTCGCGCGAGGCCCGCCTCGGCAACCTTTTCCGGAGTGTAGCCGGCACGAGTCAGATGGGCGAGCAGATGGTTGTCTCGCGGTGGACTGTATCCCAGTTCAAAGGTTTGCGCTGTCCGTTCCATAATGCCGCGATCCGCCAAATACTCGCGAACGAATTTAGCCTCCCCAGACGCCAGTTCCTGCTGGTAGAAACGCCGGGCCGCGTCGTTGATTTCGTACAATTCTGCCGACTGGCCGGCGGTTTCCCGGTCTTCAATGGTAATGCCGACCCGTGCGCCCAGCAGATGCAACGCCTCGCGGAAGTCCATCCGCTCCGCTTTCATCACGTAGGACAGGGCATCGCCGCCCTCAACGCACGCGCCAAAACAACGCCAGGATTGCCGGTCGGGAAAAACGTAGAACGACGGAGTCCTTTCCTGATGGAACGGGCAGTTGGCTTTGTATGATGAGCCAGACCGTTGCAGGTTGACGTAGCTGCCGATCAGCTCGACAATATCCACACGGCTTTTAACGTCGTCAATCTGGGTCATAATAGTATGGCTAACTCACTGGGAGACACTTCGCCAACAATATTATAGCACATTTTCGCGCCAACGCACGACCATCCCGCATGCGTACCCACGTTGTGATTGCGCACATACCCACGTTGTCATCGCGCACGTACCCACCTTGTCATCGCGAGCGTAGCGTGGCAATCCCGTCGCCGTAGCAACGGCGGTTCATCGACGCGTGTTCAGCCTCATCGAGATTGCCACGTCCCTCGACTAGCCCGGGATGACGGGGCGCTCCTCGCAATGACAGATTAAAGCGGGTACGCGTGCGGCGACCATCCACGGCGACAAACGCCGTGTTGCGACGGTTGCAATACCAACCGTAGTTCAGGGCCTGTACGTCACCGTGATGGTCGTCTCAGCCTCGTCGTCGCCGTTGGACGCTACTGCGACAATCTCGTTGCGCCCAACCTGCAACAGGATGTCGGCCTGCCACCGGCCGGCGCCGTCCGCTGGCGCCGGTATAATGCCATTCAGCACTACTTTGGCATCCGGCAGCGTTGTGCCAGACACCGTGATCACCGCATCGTGTACGTTTTGCTCCGTTGGTCGGTTCGGAAATCCTGACCGTCAACGCTAGCGGCTTGGGATCGTAGGTTACCTGCAAAAAGAGGCGCACTTTCTGGTCGGACGAACTGTCGCTGCTGACGATTTCCAGCACGTTGACTCGTTCCCCCAGCGGTATCAAACCGGCAAAGTCGCCGTTGGCGTCGGCGCGCACCGGACGCATCCGCTGTTCCGACTCGCTGCTGTCGTAGAAAATCTCGACGAATGACCAGGGCAGCGTTTTGCCGGCCACTTCCACCCGGGCATCTTCGCCGCGTAATACCTGCAGGTTGCCCGGGCGTATGACTTCCAGGAACAAAGGCGGCGGCGGCGTGGCCGGAGGTCGCAACGTTGGAACCGGTTGGGTCGGACCAATCGTGGGCGGCGGGGTCGGTTGGGGCGTTGGCGCCGGCGTTGGCGCCGGCATTGTGGGAACCGGCGTGGGGGCCTCCACCGGCAAAGGCGTCGCTGGCGGCGTCATGGTGACTCGCGCCAGCGGGCGGACATCGGGAGTGAACGGCAATGCGACCACCCACAACGCCAGAAGCAGCGCGATCAGCAACCCGGTAACTACTACAACTGCTATCTGCTGTCGCAAAGCGTCAGTTGGCGGTCGGGGAGCCCAGCGGCAGGGTCAACCGGAACGTGGTGTGGTGGTCTTCCGCCGGCGCCAGCGCTGACTGCACCGACAGCTCGCCGCCGTAGCGGTTGGCCAACGTCCGGCTGATGTAAAGGCCCAGGCCGGATGACGTCTTCTCCTCGCTGCGCCCCATCTCCGGAGTCCAGCCGCGAGTGAACAGGTGGGTACGGTAGTGCGCCGGAATCCCGGTGCCGTTATCGGTAACGTTCACCATGAAACTGTGCAGGTCACGGGTCAGGTTAATCTCCACGTCGTCGCCGCCGTAGCGCAGGGCGTTGTCCACCAGGTTGGCGATGATGTGCTCCAGCACCGCGGCATCCGAGTACACGATGCCGAACATCTCTGGCTCCGACCACCAGACTATGTCCTTGCCCTGTTCCGCGGCCTGCCCCGTGTAACGTTCTACGATGCGACTCACCACAGCGGATGGCTCCACCGGATACTTCTCCGCCGGCGCGTCGGGCGTTTCCAGGTTGATCATCACCTGCATATTGCCCATCATCAGGCGGAAGGACGGGGCCTGCTCCTCAATCTCGTCCAGCAGCTCGTGTACCACGATGGACACGTCCTCGCCGGTTGAGGCCAGCACGCCGCGCACCTCACGACACTTGCCCAGTATGCGCCGCATCGGGCGACCCAGGTCGTGCTGGAACGTCTCAAACTGCTGCTCGGTCAGCCGGCTCCAGTCATCAACCCCGTTGAACCCGTGGCCGTTGCCGTGGCGAACACTCAAAACGGCATACACGCCGACGGCCACCGCGAGACCCACTCCGACCGCCCCCATCCCGATGTACGCCAGCGGTTCTATGTTCCAGCGCGCCGGGAACAGTGACACCAGCGGGAAAAACACCGACAGCAGCATC